CCTAACCTAACCTAACCTAACCTAACCTAACCTAACCTAACCTAACCTAACCTAACCTAACCTAACCTAACCTAACCTAACCTAACCTAACCTAACCTAACCTAACCTAACCTAACCTAACCTAACCTAACCTAACCTAACCTAACCTAACCTAACCTAACCTAACCTAACCTAACCTAACCTAACCTAACCTAACCTAACCTAACCTAACCTAACCTAACCTAACCTAACCTAACCTAACCTAACCTAACCTAACCTAACCTAACCTAACCTAACCTAACCTAACCTAACCTAACCTAACCTAACCTAACCTAACCTAACCTAACCTAACCTAACCTAACCTAACCTAACCTAACCTAACCTAACCTAACCTAACCTAACCTAACCTAACCTAACCTAACCTAACCTAACCTAACCTAACCTAACCTAACCTAACCTAACCTAACCTAACCTAACCTAACCTAACCTAACCTAACCTAACCTAACCTAACCTAACCTAACCTAACCTAACCTAACCTAACCTAACCTAACCTAACCTAACCTAACCTAACCTAACCTAACCTAACCTAACCTAACCTAACCTAACCTAACCTAACCTAACCTAACCTAACCTAACCTAACCTAACCTAACCTAACCTAACCTAACCTAACCTAACCTAACCTAACCTAACCTAACCTAACCTAACCTAACCTAACCTAACCTAACCTAACCTAACCTAACCTAACCTAACCTAACCTAACCTAACCTAACCTAACCTAACCTAACCTAACCTAACCTAACCTAACCTAACCTAACCTAACCTAACCTAACCTAACCTAACCTAACCTAACCTAACCTAACCTAACCTAACCTAACCTAACCTAACCTAACCTAACCTAACCTAACCTAACCTAACCTAACCTAACCTAACCTAACCTAACCTAACCTAACCTAACCTAACCTAACCTAACCTAACCTAACCTAACCTAACCTAACCTAACCTAACCTAACCTAACCTAACCTAACCTAACCTAACCTAACCTAACCTAACCTAACCTAACCTAACCTAACCTAACCTAACCTAACCTAACCTAACCTAACCTAACCTAACCTAACCTAACCTAACCTAACCTAACCTAACCTAACCTAACCTAACCTAACCTAACCTAACCTAACCTAACCTAACCTAACCTAACCTAACCTAACCTAACCTAACCTAACCTAACCTAACCCAACCCAACCCAACCCAACCCAACCCAACCCAACCTAACCCAACCTAACCTAACCTAACCTAACCTAACCTAACCTAACCTAACCTTTTTTTTTTTTTTTTTACATGGGGAAATGCCTACGCATACCCGCCTCGCGGGGGCAAGGACGGGTTATGTCGGACTCGCACCGACTAAAACCCCATGGTGTTCCACCCATGTCGCATATTGGCAGGGCCACGGGAACGCTTTCGCACACTTCCGCGGCCCCACCTGCGCTGGCCACTCCATGGCGGCCCCTCCTCGGGAGAGAACTACTCCTCCCCCATCTCCTTCTCAGGTAAGGCGCACCAGAACACATGGCGCGCCTTCCTCCTCGGCCTCCAATTTCAAATGCGCAACAGACGCCCCCGAGTCCGATGCGCGAAGGCCATGGGGCCAGGAAAAACTAGCACTCAGAAGCACCAGCCTTCCTGACCCCAGCGGCGGATCTGGTCTATGGCTCCGCCGCCAACCAAGATTCGGCTGCGGAGGGTAGGGAGAGCGGCGCCTCGCAATACCGACACTCCTCTCCCCCCGCAGCCCCACCACCACCGCATCACTCAACGGTGCGGCCCCGTCTGAGTCGCGGAGGATAGGGCGAGTGGCGCATCGCCATACCAGCACTCCTCTTCCTCCGCGACTCCACCTCGGCTGCAGCGATAGAGGGAGCGGACACCCCTCTCGCAGCATCCCACCGACACACATCCGAAGTGGGCTTCCCAAGCCCACTCGGAGTGGCCACCTCGGGCCGGCCCTACACCACGGGCCAGCCAAGGGGTTCCTCTTTGTTCACCGTGGGTGACCAAGCCACGGCTACTAAGCCCCCCCGCCACGACAAGGCGGGAACCCGTTCGGGGGGGAACCTAACCTAACCTAACCTAACCTAACCTAACCCAGTTGCACTCCAAACGCCGTGCCGTACGCAGCACTTTTAAACCGCTCCGCAATCATAAATTCGAAGTTGTGGGTCAAAGTGACCAAATTGTTAAGTGTGTTAGATCAAAAGATTCGTCTCGTCGAGACGAATCCAGTGATATATAACAAAGTTGGAAAAGTGCGGAAAATACGGAATAAATACGGAAAAACCAGATTTTATTAACCTAAAAATCTTAAAAGTGAAACGCTGCCTAAACGAGATCTATGACATAGTGTTTTTAAAGTGTAGGAATAAGCGCCTTGACTTGCTTTATCATACTGACCAATCACCAGATTTTTACGACGTTCGCGCACGAAATTATTAACCAAAATATAAAACCACGTGGACACGTGGTTTTTGATAGGAGGCCGTGCGGCTGTTTCTGCAAACGGAATATCAAAGAGGACATCAGGACGAAGCACCAGACACCTCGATCATTAAAATCGGTTGAGAAATATAGAAGTTATTACACTTTAAAGAATAGAATTTTCAGCATAAAACTTCACGTGTAAATATCTCTGAAATTTCAGTGACGACCTGTGCCTTTTTTGTGTTCATCTATAGCAGCAAATCAAGACCTACAAAAGGACATTAAAAAACAATTTTTTGGAGTGCAATTAGAAAAGTAAGCAAATTTTTTATTATTAAGTGTAAACACGTGTTGTCCTAAAAGTGTTCCTGAAAAATCTGAAAAAATTCCATAAAATAGTATTAACATATTCTTAGCTTCCCAAATTTTTTCAAAATTTTCCTATTCATATTTTTCGAATGAGACGCTTTTTGCGGTTGTTGGTTTTCATAAGTAGATTTTCAAAATTAAATAACTCAAAAAATTTTCAGGCAAAAATTTTTTCCAAATTAAGTATATCATAGGCAATTTATCTGTCTACATACAGTATTTTTTTCGGAATTTTTGAGGCAGCGCTTTTGGAGATAAGAATTTAATTGTAAGAGCTGGGAGGTCCTGAAAACCGCACGAAAACTTGTTTTTCAGTTTTCAGGAGAACGGAGCCTCCTAGCTCAATTTTGACAATTTTTTCGGGGGCCCCCCCCCCCGTCACCCCCCCCCACACTATCCACCTAAGGGATAGTCTTCGCCACCCACCGCATCATTTTGGCTGATTTTCAACCCCCTACCCCTAAGTTGACTTTTCGACTTAGTCTCTGGGGGATGAAAAACTTTAAATTACTATAATAAATTAACGGGTGCTCCGATTTGGACGGGGTTTTTTGCAAAATTAACTATAATTGTCAAATATTTAATTTTTTATAGACCGACTCTACATAGAGTCTATATTTTTATGCAAATTTTTATTTTTATAAACTAGACTAAGACTTTTTTGTAACAAAATTTTTAAAATAAGACCAATAAGTTAGTGTTATAGACTAGCTTTAACAAAAGAGACTCTTGGTAGAGCCAAGAAAATTTTGAGGTAAAAAAATTTTTTTATTTTTAAATTTATTTTTTTATTTTTAGTGTATTATTATAATTTTATATTTTCTTCTATTGACAGTAGTTCGTATAAACAGACTCTACATAGAGTTTATGTATATTATTACTAAATTAATAAGTTAGACCTAGGGACCTTTTCTTTAATTTAATATTACTAGAATAAGATTAACTAGCGTTAAGGAGTGACTCAGAGAAAATAAGACTCTTGGTAGAGCCAAGTTGCTATATAGTAAAGTTTTTAAAAAATTGTTAAAAATTTTAAAAATTTAAAGTTTGTTATAGGTTAGAGACTTATTTAAGACGTATTTATCAATTTTTCCGAAATTTTTTGTCAATTGGTTCTAGAGATATTGATTTTTTCTTTTCTTCTCAATTTAATTCTTAAATAAATAATCATTAAATAAATTTACACCTGGAATGGTCTTTTTAGGCTATTTGTGACTAAATTGAGCCGAAACACCGGCCCAAAACTCCTAAAATTAACAGATTTTGACAAAATCCGCCATTTTGTTTTTCAGGAGCAAAACTTTAATTGACCATAACTTGGGAACCAATTGTCACAAAAATCTGGGATTACCACTGTTACTTATTTAAATTTGCCCTTAATGATATCTGATCGGTTTCAGCCGATTTCAGGAGTTTTCTGGTTTTCGTCTGAAACTACTTTCAGGACGTTCCTTAGGTACAGCCAAGCTGTACATCCAAAACCCCGATTTTTTCCGACCACGGGTTACGGATTTATAGCCTCCTAAAGCAGGATTTTGACATTTCGGCGGCCATTTTGTTAAACTTTAAATCGCAATAATTCGGCAACCACGCCACCTAGAAACCTGCGGTTTTCGGATTCGGGATAAGTAGTTCTTGCTTTATACTTTCCCTGAAATTCAGGTAAATCTAAGCTTAAAAAATTTTAGAATCCTGAAAGTGGATTCAACTGAAGGAAAAGGTCAAGCTGATAAACTTTGCCCAAAGAACCAGGCCCAGGAACCGGGCAAATCAGACCGGTACTCCGAAGTTATCAAGGAAAAACTAATTTCAGCCGCCATCTTGGAAAATTTTGAACTTCTATATCTTCGGGATTGGTTGGGTTGGCTGCTTGGTGTTTGGGCTTGTTGAAAAGGGCTCGGCGAGAGCTATCTACTGAAACCTAAAAATCAGCTCTACATAGAGTCTGGAAGAACTTTGTCTCTACATTCGTTAATTTTGGCCCCTGAAACTGCTCTTTCGGGTAAATTAGAGTACTCCTGACGTGCTTTTGCAGCAATTTACTTGACAAAAATTTGATCTTCAAATTTTATTTATATAATTGTTTTTGTTGTTTTATTTTACCTTATACACTTTTATTATTTTATTTATACAATTTTACTGACGGACGCATACCTCCATTATGTTTGGGTTTAGAACTCCAATGAAACCGAGTGGTGAGGTGTCATCCCCCCCTAAACCAGGAACGTCAGCTTCCCCTCCCAATGTTAGGCGAAGCATAAGCGACTGGGAAGGTGCATCCACCAACCCTGCTCCAACAAACTCAAGCGCAAAGACGGTCCAGGTGGACAATACTACCTCTAAACCACGACCGGTACTGTCGAAAGACAACAAACCCACGGCCGCGCGTAGACCATCTATCGATGTCCAAACTCCTCATGAGAGTAAATACGAAAATCGAACGTCGGAAGCAAGGGCCTGCCTGAACAAAGGTAAATTACATCTGAGCGCCTCTCGAAATATAAAAACCGAGATTAAAAATGGATTGGTTGAGGCACTTGATCGACTCTACCAGATTGTTAGGGAAGCTGAAAAGGAGTTAAAAATAGAAAAGTCTAAAGGTGTTGGTGTTGGTGATGGGATTGTGGGGGGGGAGCCGGTGCAAACCAGTACCGACTCTACATTCATAGTCAAAACACCGGAACCAACAAGTAGCACCCAGTGCGACCCAAACATAATAGCTCGAATCGAGGAGCATACGAAGCTGTTGATCGAAAGCAACAAAAAGATAGAAGAGCTTAAGGCGTCTATTGACAGACAAAAGGAGACCTTGGAACGGGCAACCTACGCGAGTGTAGTATCGAATAAAATCGCAAACATACCAAAAGTACGAAGCACGCTGCACTCGGTAGTGGTCACCTCAAAAGATGAAACTGAATCAGGGGAAGAGGTGCTCGACAAGGTCAGGAAAGCGGTAGATGCAAAAGACGGCTGGATTAAAGTTGAACGGGTAAGGAAAGCGAAGGACAGGAAAATCATCATAGGATTTGATACACCGGAAGAAAGAAGTAAAGCCAAGCACAGACTGGAAACCAAGGGGGTGGACCTCACCGTCGAGGAGGTGAGGAACAAAGACCCATTATTGATCCTCTTAAGTGTATTGTCCATTAACACCGACGAAGACATTATCAAAGCACTGAGGAACCAAAATGGGTATGTCTTTCATGGCCTCGACGGAGCGGAAGACAGGGTGGAGGTTAAATATAGGAAGAAAACAAGAAACCCCCACACTAACCATGTAGTGATTAGTGTGTCACCTACCATCTGGCGTAGAGCAACAGAAACTGGATACTTCCATATTGACCTCCAGCGTGTCAGAGTGGATGACCACTCCCCCTTGGTCCAGTGTAGCCGCTGTCTGGGATATGGGCATAGCAAAAGATTTTGCAAAGAACCAGCAGACATATGCAGCCATTGCGGCGGCCCTCACCAGGGAGCGGAGTGCGCTGATAGGATTGCTGGTGAACCACCCGCTTGTAAGAACTGCACAAGGGCTAAACTGGATCAGGCAGAGCATAACGCCTTTAGCCGTGATTGCCCTATTCGCCAAAAATGGGATAAGATAGCGCGATCATCTGTAGCCTACTGCTAAGGGCGACCAAGCGGAAACCTCCCAGTATAAATTCATGCAAGCAAACCTCCAAAGAAAGAAGTTAGCCACAAACGAGATTCTTCTTGAGGCACAGAAACGTGGCACCGCTGTTGCTCTTCTCCAGGAGCCATACGTGGGAAGGTCCAAGGCAATGCGTGGCTACCAAGGAGTACGGATCTTCCAGAGCACAGGACAAGGAGATGGGACTGTTAAAGCGGCTATTGCTGTTTTCGACCACCAACTTAATGTTAAGCAGTATCCGAAACTCACCACAGACAACATCGTAGTGGTGGGGATTCAAACCAGTGCCTGGGAAATCACAGTAGTCTCGCTTTACTTTGAGCCGGATCAACCCATTGAGCCATACCTGGAACACCTGAAGAAAATAGAGCAACTAGTAGGACCAAACAAGTGGATTATTGGAGGTGATGCTAATGCAAAAAGCTCGTGGTGGGGTAGCCCAATAATTGATCACAGGGGTGATGAAATGTCCGGCGCTTTTGAGGAAATGGGCCTCAATATACTCAACGTAGGGGAAATACCGACCTTTGACACCATTCGGGGAGGAAAACGGTACCACAGCTATGTCGACATAACAGCCTGCTCGACAAATCTTCTGGCTCTAGTGGACAACTGGAGAATAAACGAGGGCCTGATGAGTTCGGACCACAACGGCATACTGTTTGAGATTCGCCTAGAAAAATCGGAAGGCGTCATGATAAACAGGACAACAAGACTTTTTAACACTAAAAAAGCTGATTGGTCCAAGTTTCATGAGCAACTTGGACAATCACTACAAGAAAATAGAATAACAGAAAATTATATAAATAAAATTGACAACATAAACGATTTGGATACACTTACAAAAAATTTGACAAACTCAATAAAACAAACCTGTCTATCAACGATGCCAACTAAAAAAGCGGAAGAACGCATCAGACTGCCGTGGTGGTCCAAAAAACTCGCAGAGCTTAAAAAGAACGTCGCTACGAAGAAACGCAGAATTAGGTGTGCCGCTCCAATCCGAAAGCAGAAGGTCATAGAAGAGTACCTGAAACAGAAAGAGGAGTATGAGTCAGAGACAGCGAAGGCCCAGACAGAGAGCTGGAAAGAGTTTTGTTGCAAGCAGGATAGAGAGGGAGTGTGGGAGGGGATATACAGGGTCATAGGAAGAACGACGCATAGGGAACAGGATCTACCACTGGAGGGCGAGGAGGGGATGTTGGACGAGAGGGGCTCTGTAGAGCTGCTGGCCAAAACATTCTATCCAGAGGATGTACCCGACAGAGACAATACTCACCATCGCTACGTAAGACTCGAGGCCGACAGAGTGAACGCTGCAGATCAAGATGGCTCTTGTGACCCCCCGTTCACAATGTTTGAATTAACTCAAGCAAGTGAGTCTTTCAACCCGAAGAAGGCACCGGGATTGGACGGCTTCACGGCCGATATATGTTGCCGTGCCATTAGGGCCCAACCTAGGTTATTCTTAGCGCTCCTCAATAAATGTCTAGAATACCACCACTTCCCCAAGATATGGAAACAAGCAATAGTCGTCGTCCTAAGAAAACCCGGTAAGGATGACTATACAAAGCCAAAATCCTATAGGCCAATAGGACTGTTGCCCATACTAGGAAAGATCTACGAAAAGATGATCATGGCCCGCCTCAAATATCATCTACTGCCGAGGATTAGTACTCACCAGTATGGATTCATGCCGCAAAGGAGCACCGAGGACTCCCTCTATACGCTAATTCAGTATATCCGTAGAAAGCTAGATGAAAAGAAAATCATAACTCTAGTATCCTTAGATATAGAGGGAGCCTTCGATAGCGCCTGGTGGCCGGCAATAAGAGTCCGACTGGCTGAGGAAAATTGTCCCCTCAATTTGAGGAGGGTCATAGACAGTTATCTTAGAGACAGGGAGGTGGTGGTCAGATACGCCGGTGAGGAGCATAAGAAAGCGACTACCAAAGGATGTGTCCAGGGATCCATAGGGGGACCTATCCTGTGGAACATCCTTCTTGATCCCCTCCTGAAAAAACTTGCGGACAGAGGTGATTACTGTCAGGCGTTTGCTGACGATGTCGTGCTGGTGTTCGATGGCAAAACAGCTCAAGAAGTCCAGGATCGTGCCAATGATACTCTCGAACGTGTCCGGTCGTGGGGTGTCGAGAATAAGCTTAACTTCGCTCCACACAAAACATGCGCTATGATAATCACCAGAAAGCTTAAACACGACACACCACGGCTGAGCATGGGAGGGGTTGCAGTTGGCATGTCGAAGGAAATAAAATTGCTGGGTATGACCATCGACGATAAACTGACCTTTAACACCCACGTCGCAAATGCTTGCAGGAAAGCCATATGTATATACAAGAAACTCTCCGGAGCGGCAAAGGTCAGTTGGGGCCTTCACCCGGAGGTGATCAAAATTATTTACACGGCGACAGTGGAGCCAGTCATCTTGTACGCTGCTGGAGCATGGGGGTCGGCTGCAGAAAAACTAATGGTCATCAAGCAGCTGCAGACTGTACAACGGGGCATCGCCCAAAAGCTCTGCAAGGCCTACCGCACGGTCTCCCTGAACTCGGCACTGGTGCTGGCTGGGATACTCCCCCTAGACCTCCGAGTTCGTGAGGCGTCCTCATTGTACGAAGCCAAGAGGGGATTGCCCCAGTCGGTGCTGGCCAGGAGGGAGGTCGAGCGTATGGCATCAGCACTTGAGACTCCACATCCGGCCGAATGTCTAGAATTGAATATCGTAAGCTTGGCAAATCAGGACGACGTGAAAAATGCAGTTGTTTGCGATATGCATATTTACACGGACGGGAGCAAAATTGATGGCAAAGTTGGCGCTGCAGTATCTGTATGGACTGGCGGGGTGGAGGCCAAAACCCTCAAGCTTGCTCTGCCGGAATACTGTACCGTCTACCAAGCTGAGCTACTAGCAATAAGCCGAGCTACTCGAGTCATTCGCGCACACAACGCCTTGACCTTCGGGATCTATAGCGATTCTATGGCCGCCCTTCTTACAATTAAGAACCCCCGTTGCCTTCACCCAATCGCAGTAGAGGCCAGAGAAAATCTTAAAGATATATCTCTCCAGGGCAAGGTAGTCACCTTGTTCTGGATAAAAGCTCACGCAGGTTTTGAAGGCAATGAACGAGCAGACCAACTCGCGAAGGAAGCGGCCAAGAATTCCAAGAAGAAACCGGATTACGACCTTTGTCCGGTTTCATTCGTCAAGCGATGCATTCGCCAGGCAACACTTGACGAATGGAATCATAGATATAAGACAGGTGAAACGGCCGCAGTTACAAAAATGTTTTTCCCGGACGCAGTAACTGCATATAGAATTGTCCGTAAGATTAAAATAGACAGTCACAAAACACAAGTGATGACAGGACACGGTGGATTCTCCGAGTACTTAAACCGTTTTAAGTGCAAGGAGAGTCCATCGTGTATCTGCGACCCTGCGATACCCGAGTCTATCCCTCACATAGTGTTAGAATGCCCCGTCTTTGGCATAGAACGTTTTGAAGTTGAGAGTAAGATGAAAACCAGAATAACGGCTGAAACTGTGAAGGATATCATGGAGAGTGATCAAAGAAATGTATTTCTAGATTATTGCGTAAGAATAGCGAGAAAAGTAATTGTAAGAAATAAAAGTAGTTAAGAAAGTATGCTGTATTAATATATTGATGTATATTACATATAAGCATAATATTGTAGTAGATTTAAATATTGTTAGCAAGTAAGCAGTAGCAAGAATAAAATAGATTAGGTTGTGTACATTTACTTCCCTAAAATAATGCTCAGCAGTGGAAAAAGAAGGAAAGAATAGAAATAAGAATATAGTTAGATTAGATAATAAAGAATAGATAGAAGGGAATCCCACCCTTAGTAGAAAGAAAGACGATGGATGTAAGAAAGAACTAGTATGTAGAATGAAAGTACGAGAAGCATAGAAGCGAGAACTGGTATGAAAGAGAAACAGCTGAAATAGGCTCCGATAATGTTGGAGGTAGTAGCATAAAAAAAAAAATAAAAAAAAAAATAAAAAAAAAACCTAACCTAACCTAACCTAACCTAACCTAACCTAACCTAACCTAACCTAACCTAACCTAACCTAACCTAACCTAACCTAACCTAACCAACTACAACTCTGCTAATAACTTTCTTAAATATTGGTATTTTTCGTTCTAATTTTCTCTAATTAGTGTAATCAGTTGGCCCCCATATATCCCTGCAGTTTTCTTAGTAAATATTTACCGTTAAATAATTAAATTTCGTATTTTTTACTCTTTTATAGTTGAAAATTCACAAATAAAACATAAATTCGTCTCTAATTTTGCTGAAAATTGGTCTTTTCTGTTAATATTTTCGTTTTATATAGTGTAATTCATTGCCCTCTATAATTCCCTGTAGTTTTTTCATAAAATTTTCACAGTTTTATAACAAATTTTTAAATAATCCGTCTTTTGATTGTCGTAATTTCATAAAATTTTTAAAATTTTTCAAACCTGCTCTTATTTCGTTCTTTTTGCTTTAGTCGGGTCCGCCCCGCGTAGAAACTGCCAACTGCACAAAAATCTGCAAAATAAAACACAAGGAATTAGAGAAAATCGCTACTTATCAAAACCGAGGTATAGTGGTCGATCGCTAAAAATTCATAAAATTAACTACAACTCTGCTAATAACTTTCTTAAATATTGGTATTTTTCGTTCTAATTTTCTCTAATTAGTGTAATCAGTTGGCCCCCATATATCCCTGCAGTTTTCTTAGTAAATATTTACCGTTAAATAATTAAATTTCGTATTTTTTACTCTTTTATAGTTGAAAATTCACAAATAAAACATAAATTCGTCTCTAATTTTGCTGAAAATTGGTCTTTTCTGTTAATATTTTCGTTTTATATAGTGTAATTCATTGCCCTCTATAATTCCCTGTAGTTTTTTCATAAAATTTTCACAGTTTTATAACAAATTTTTAAATA